TGTCCTTCCTTCCATCTGTCCTTTTATCCATCTGTTCATACATCACCCATCCTCCTGCCCATTCACCTGTTTTTCCCTCCTTTCTTCTGTCCTTCTATACATCTATCCAACCATCCATCCATCCACTCATCCACCACCTACCCATCCTTCTGCCCATTCACTTGCTAGCCCCTTCTTCCTTCTGTCCTTCCATCCATCCATCCTCCCATCTTCCTGCTCATTCACCTGCTTGTCCTTCCATCTGTCTTTTTATCCATCTCTGTATCTACCATCCATCCATCCATCCTTCTCCCTATTCACCTGTTTTTCCTTCCAGCCATCCATCTCTCCACTCATCCTCCTCTTCATTCACCTGTTTTCTTCTTTGTGTCTTTCCATCCATCCACCTCTCCACCCAGCCATCTCTCCATCCCATTTGTTCACCCAATTGTCATTCCTTCCATCTGTTCTTTTATCCATTCATCCACCCATCTATCCATTATCTATCTGTCCATCATCCATCCACCTATCCTTCTCCCCATTCACCTGTTTATGCTTCTTTCTGTCCTTCCAATCATCCATCCATCTCTCCATTCATCTTCCTTCCTGTTTATCTGCTTGTCCCTCCTTCCTTCTTTCCTTCCACCCATTCATCCATCTGCCCATCTACCCACTCATCCTCTTGCCTGGTCACCTGCTTGTCCTTCCTTCCACCTATCCTTTTATCCATCTATCACCATCCATCCATCCTTCTCCCCATTCATCTTTTTGTCCTTATTTCTATCCTTCCAACCATACATCCATCCTCCTCTTCATTCACATGTTCCCTTCCTTCTGCCCTTCCATCCGTCTATCCACCCAGCCATCTCTCCACCCACCCTTCTCCTCACTCACCTAATTGTCCTTCCTTCCTTCTGTTCTTCATTTTATTAATTCTTCTACCCATTCACTTATCCATCCATCCATCCATTTATGCATTCGTATGTCTACCCATCCTCCTGCCCAGTTCACCTCCTTGTTCTTTCTTTCCTTCCTTCTTTCATCTCTCCAACTTCTCTTCCTCATTTTTATCCATCTTGCCTTCTCTTTTGACTCACCAGTTGTACATTCCACCTTCTTTCCATTCTTTGATCCCTTTTGTTTTCCTGCCCATGCATCCATCTATCCTCTTTGTTCAACCTTTCTCTTGTTCACCACCCCCCACTCTCTTGGGTGAATTTTACTCACAGGCTTGCTCACCTCTCCACTCACACAGTCACTCCTTCCCTCAATCTCATTTATGGGCCACCTGTGAATGGTCATCCTGGCTTGGACCACTGATGAAGGCCAGGGGAGCTTCTCCCACTGGGTGGTGGGCTTTGTTCCTCTCTGACGGACTATTCCTTCCACAGCTCCCAAGCCAGCCACTACATTCCTGCCTCCTCTGTCAGAAGCCACAACAGGTATCTGGGGCCACTTTTCCTCCTCAACTATTAGACTAGCAGTTCAGTCAGACACCTGCCCTCGTGGAGCCCCCAGTCTTATGAGATAAATAGTTCTTTATGATATAATGTCAGATGTTTTGGAGTGAGCCATCTGGCATAATTGGGAAGGAGGAGGGCTTTCTGGAGAAAGTTTCACCTGAACTGAGCCTTTAAGGATGAGTAAGAGTGATTCAGGCAAATAGGGCATGAATAGTATTACTGAAAGAGAGGATTCCATAAGCAAAGCCTCAGTGGCCAGAAACAGCATAGACTATAGGGAAAAGTGAGAGGAATTTGATTTGATGAAACATAAAGCTTAACCCAGAGTGGATGGATAAGTGAGGCTGAAAGGTCAGCAGGAGCCAGATTGGAAAGGGCCTTGAATGCCAAGTGAAGAAATTTGAACTTAACGCTGAAGGCCATAGAGAGCTGTGGATAGTACTAGAGCAGGGGCAGCCCTAATGAGAGTATCATTTCAGAAAGATTCCTCTCGTGTTCAGTAGAGAAGAATGCCCTTTAGACAGGGCATCCAGTGAGTCTGCCAGGGTGCTAATCAGGGTGAGAGAAAATAAGGCCTGAACTGGGATGGGGAAGGAGAGAGAGGATATATGTGGTGAATATTCAGCAAAGGGAATCGGTGTTACTTGGAGGGGAGGAGATACATAGCTTCTGACTTGGATGGCCACACTGTTAACAGTGAGTGCAAGACTCTGATCTAGTCTCAGACCAGCCTTCAGGTGCAGATGTCTTTCCTCCTCCCCTCCTGCAGCCACAGGGAACCACCTGAAGACGGTCATACTCAGCTTCACCATCTCCAATCTCCAGTATTCACCAGGCATGGGCAATGGCTCAGCTGCATTCAACTCCACGGAGAGGCTCCTGCAGCACCTGGTGAGACCCGTCCCAGCAGGCTCCTGGCAGGATAAATCCTACCCAAACCTCTGCTTACCCTCTTCCTCCTTCCTCTCAAGCTCAGACCCTTGTTCCAGAAGAGCAGCATGGGCCCCTTCTACTTGGGTTGCCAACTGATCTCCCTCAGGTAAGACCACTTCCTGGCCACTTGCAAGTAATGACCACCCCTTTTGTGACCACCCCTTTCTCAGCCTTCCCTTGCTCCTCCCTCCTCTGGTCTTTACCTGCAGAGGTGTTAGGAGCTTTCTCGAATCCTCAAATGCCTCTCTCCCCAGGCCTGAGAAGGATGGGGAAGCCACTGGCGTGAACACCACCTGCTCCTACAACCCTGACCCCATGGGCCCCGGGCTGGACATACAGCAGCTTTACTGGGAGCTAAGTGAGCTAACCCATGGTGTCACCCAACTGGGCTTCTATGTCCTGGACAGGGACAGCCTCTTCATCAACGGTGAGTGTCAGGCTGAACTCGGATTTACAGTGACTTTCTGGGGATTTGTTTGTTTTTGAGATGGAATCTCACTCTGTCAGCCAGGCTGGAATGCAATGGTGCAATCTCGGCTCTGCAACCTCTGCCTCCCGGGTTCAAGCAAGTCTCCTGCCTCAGCCTCCGAAGTAGCTGGAATTACAGGTGCATGCCACCACGCCCAGCTAATTTTTTGGATTTT